TAATACAGGGCTCTACTGGAGTCCTAGATGTTGATCCCACGGGGAGTAATATTAGAGGCTACGAACTTAAGATTTAGAAAATCAATACTTAATCACAACAACATAGTTCAAATTGCATATTTGTCACTAATAGGCAGTTAAAATAAAAATATAATTTTAATAAACTCTCAATCAACTAATTCTACTAATAAAGTTTCTAATGTGAAGTTCAATATATAAGAAAACATCCCTCTCCTTGTTAAGAAATTTAAGTGAATGGATAAATTGAATCGGTTCAAATTATATTGTGCTAAATAGGAGCATACATATTCTTTACCCATTGGGTCAGGCATAAAAAACATTAATTAGTCCTATGTTTGGTTACTGAATTTGCAGCTAGGCTACGAGGATACCGGCTCTCACTTTAGAGCTCCCACTTTCCCCTCGTCTGATGGCTAACATCTACACTTCAGAACTCAAACGATAGGAGCGAATTGAGGATTTTAGTCTGTCACTCTAAAATCTCCAATTCTATGCTCGATAATTTTTATTTCTCTATTTATTTGCCAACTTTTAAGGACTTTGACCTCCCTAAATCTTGGATGTAATCCTCACTGTAGTTGTAAAACTCAACATATTTAAACAAATCAATTGGCCAGATTGAAAGTAAATTAAGATTAAAGTGAAAAGATCATCACAGCTTCTTTAACATTCTCATGGCACAACCAATTCAAATCACCATTTCATAAAATCTCAAGACAAGGCAAAAGATCTAGAAAACTACTCAGAACTCATGGAGAAGATACGACAAAACTATTTTAGAACATAATCCACTACAATCAATATAAAAATATTTCCGAATGAAGGTATAAATGGTCCCATAAAATCCAATCCTCATGCATCAAAAATTTCAATTTTCAAATTAAAATTTAAAGGCATTTCATTTCTTTTTAAATATTACCTAATCTCTGACATTGATCACATGTTTTAATATATATATATATAAAAGTTTATGACAGTTATATCATTCTTTAAAATGAAATAACAGATTATGTCACCCACTAAAGTAAAATACCACTAACAATATAATTTACAATATCAGCATACCACGGTATTTCTCATCATTTTACAGCATAAAGTTGTTCATCGAGAAAAGTTTCATTAATTTTTCTTTCCAAATCAAGTTTTTCTTCTTGTCCTACCCTAGAGAGATGATCAACAATTTGATTATTAGTCCCTTTCCTATCGACTATTATAAATTCAAACTCTTGCATAAGAAGTACCCATCTAATTAATCTTGGTTTAACATCCTTCTTTTGCATTAAATATTTAATAGTCAAATGGTCAATATGCACAACACATTTAGCTCTAATCAGATATGACCTAAACTTATCAAAAGCATCCTAATAATTCTCTTACAATGATGCGGGCGGATTAAGTGTGTGAATTTTGCAAAAAATTTTCAGCATTACAAAATTAGACACGCCATATATATAATAAATATGTAATATAATCCCAATAAAAATACATTTTAATAAAATAGTTGATCTTTTAAACCTCTTTTTAAACTATCAAATCCCCGTTAAAATCAACACAAATATACTTATCCCATAGGGAGATTAGAAAATCCCTTAAATAAGTTTTTGAAAATATTTTAGAATTAAAAATACCAAAACAAAAGTATAGTGCGAAGTTTGAGTATTAACTACTATGGTAAATGCTATATAAAATGTAGTTGGAAAACAAAGTTAACTAATTAAGAACTAACTTTCAAATTTTAAATTATGAAAACTAAACGAAGTTTTTTTTTACGTAAAGTTCAAATTTAAGCAAGCAACCTTCCACTTTATAATGAGTATATAGATTGTGAAGAAATTGAAATCATTTAAAAAGATATGTATAAATTCTTTTGAGCCAAATAGGAGCAATCATATTCTTTGCCCTCTTCTGAGTGCTATAAAAAACATTTACTAATCCAGAGTTTGCTCCCTAATTCCATGGTTAGGTTGGGAGGATACCGAATTCCACTCAAGAGCTCCTACTACTCCCTCACCTGAGGGCTAATAATCTTGCATCGATTTCCAATCAATTGGACCAAATTGGGGATTTTAATTTGTTACCTTAAAATCTCTTAATTTTGCATCTCTAATTTTGCATCCAACAAAGTATATTTCCATATTTATTTCCAACCAATCTGATGGATGACATAATCTCCCATGAAATCAAATGTGACTCTCCCTATGTTGTAGAAATCATATCCATTTTTAGAACATATGTTTCTCAAGAAGTTTTAACATTTCAATAAGCTAGATCAAAAAGTAAATGAAGTTCGAAGTTCAAATCATCACAATTTATTAATATTTAAAACCGTAGAAAATAAATAGAAAATAAAATCAATTCTTCAATCAATTCTTCACAAAGCCATTACTCAAAGTAGGGAAAATGATAAAGAAGACAACTCAAAATTTATAAGAAGGATACAACGAAATACGAATTTCATATATAAAAACAAGTTTACAAAACAAAAAAAGTAAAAGACACAACTTATACCACAATTCCTCCCAAGCAAATCCGTAGAAGTTGTCTCAAAGCCTTTCTCTCTTTACTCTCTTAGAAGTGTAATGAAGAAGAAATCTCTAACCTTGCCTCTCTCGCCAACTTTCTCTCTCTCTCTCTCTCTCTCTCTCTCTTTTTCTCATCCTCTTTTAAGAATTCTCTTTTATTTTTGGGCTGCCTCCTTTAAAAAGAATTCCAAATTCCCTCCAAAAGTCAACCCTTTTGAATTTAAAAGATATGCCATTTGATCCCAAAGATATCTTTTCATAAAAAAATCTTCTAAAGTGTTTAGATGCACTGAATTACTCCAACAAGTGTGTAGAACAAATGTTCCTTTGAAAATTTGTGCCAAATTCGTCTCGAACTGCCTTAATTTGTAGAAAGTCGTATCTGGTGCATCATGCGCCGATCTGGCGCATCATGCGCCAGTTCTATGTCAAACCGCACATTAAGTGCCGATCTAGTGCATCATGCGCAAGAATAACAAAATTCGCTATTTTGGCTCCAAATTTTGTCCTTTTTGTCATTTTTGCTCCAAATGCATAAAAGTGATATACGTGCAACAAAAACATGAAGATACCATTCTTTAAAGTGCAATATCACAAAAAGAAGTATAAAATATGTACTTAAAATAATATATTTTTTTGGTGTATCATTATGCCATCAATACTCCAATAATTCAATATGTGCATATTCAGGATATGAGCTTGAGGGTATGTGGGAATTCAAGAAACTTATTAACATTCAAATCTATCAGCTTTGACCATGTCTCCCAAGAGATAGTTGGTCTAACTATGTCTATAACTTATCTAACTGATGATGGATGACATCAAATATTCTAGGCCTTCATGTTCACCAACCTACATGAATAAAGAACAATTTATTAACACTAGCAGAATAACAAAAAAATAACCCAAAATGAGCACCGGAGAAGACCCTGGAATAATACCTGCCAATAGAGACCCAATGTTAACTTAAGAATAACAAAAACATAACACATAAATAACCCAAAAATTACCTAAAAATAACTCTAACCTAACCCATAATAACCCAACTTAACCCAAGAAATAACCAAAAAATAACACGAGAATAACCCAAATATAACCCAATATAAACTAAAAAATTCACACTAGAAACTCAAGTGAGCTCAACCCCTGAATAACCTTGGAATAACTCAAAAAATAACCCAACAATGAACCACTAATAACTGTCAGTACACACACGAAGCTACTACAGGATAACCCCTAGAACAACCCAAGAGTAAGAGATGAATAATCCAAGAATAAGACAAGAATAAATCAAGAATAAACCAAGTGTAAACTCCTATATAATTCTTGAAGAACTTAAAAATAACCCACAAATAACTCAACATCCCGACACTGATGCCAGCTTAAATCTAGAATAACCCAATAATAATAACCCCATAATAACCCAGATAAACTAACAAAAACACAGTTGAGATAAACTCTAAAATAATATAAGCATAACAAAAAAAAATTCATAATAACCTCAAAAACTAAAGTGAGTTGAACTCATGCATAACTCAAATATAACCCAAAAGAGTTGAACTCATGCATAACTCAAATATAACCCAAAAATAACCCAATATTGAACTGCTAATATCCTATAGAACATGCAACTTCAGAATAATAAAAAAAATAACCCAAGAATAATTCATAATTAAACCAAAAATTACCCATGCGTAAACTCCTACATAACCCTTGAATAACCCAAAAATAACCCGCAATAACTCAAATCCAAAACAAAAGCTAGATTAAATCTAGAATAACTCAGTAATAACCCTAGAATAACCCCGCAATAACCCAGATAAACTAGTAAAGCCCAATCAAGATAACTCTAAAATAACGCAAGAAACCCCAAAAATAACCTAATAATAACCTTAGAAAATAAAGTGAGCGTAAACTCCTGTATAACTATTGCAAAACCCCAAAAAAAATACGCAAATAACTCAAATAAATCTGAAACAAAAGCAAGATTAAATCTAGAATAACTAAATCATAACCCCACAATAACCGAGATAAAGTCACAAAAATAACATTCGAGATGAACTCTCAAGTGACGCAAGAGTAACTCAATAAAATTTACCAAGACAAGGTTTTCTCTTCATCACCCTCCTTTTTCGGCTCCTTCTTACTACTATCTTTGTTCATCTTCTTCTTCGGTTGTTTATGCTCTGTTTCGCTAGCCTCCTCCAACTACGGTATTCTTACCTCTTCCAACTGCATATTTTGGGGATCATCCAACTCCATTCTGTCACTCCGATCTTCTCACTTCTCCGCGGAAGCACAACGAACCGCACCAGTGAACCCTACTAGAGTAACAAGGAAATCCTAGAGAAGCAAGGAGTAGGGGTGGAAATTTCAGACATCGGACTCCAGAAAGCCTAAAAGTTTTCTATAAAACGGCGTTTCTTCTATTTTATTTTATAATTTTTCTTCATGGGACTCACACATATATGTGACATCATTTATTGGACTCTGAAAGTACCACACATACATAGTGACATTATTTTATGACTCGGACGCTGAGGGAAAAACCCACCATGAATTGCGAGTAACCTTTAAATGATATTTTATTCAGGATTCGGAGTTCGCTAACTAATCCGTTACTTCGCAAATGGTGGCCTCCATTGCCACCAAATTCTCCAACCCTTCTCCTCTGTGCCCTCCAAGTGAAAACTCTCTCCGAATCCTCCATCTAGTCGCCACTGGCGACCTTCCGAAGGCGGCAATTATCCTTTTCTCCCTTCCCTCACCGGACTCAGCCGCATACGCTGCCGTCATTCAGGCCTGCGCCAGCTGCCGCCTCCTCCCTCTTGGTCGATCCCTTCATCGTCACCTGCTCTTCTCCACCTCCTCTTCTTCCTCCCCCGTCAAACTCTTTCTTTCAAACCACCTTATCAACATGTATTCCAAGTGCGGCCGCACCGATTATGGGCGCCGCTTATTCGACGAAATGCCACACCGAAACATCGTCTCCTGGACTACTCTCCTCACTGGATACTCCCAGGCCGGCCAACATCGGCAGTGCCTCCAGCTCTTTTCTTCCATGCTTGTACACTATATTCCAAATGATTACGGGTTTGTTGCGGCTCTCAGTTCCAGTGCTGGGGCCCGAGATGGCCACCACGGAAAACAGGTACACGCACTCGTTTCCAAAGTCTCTTTCGAGGCCAATGTTTTCGTTGGAAACTCCTTGATCAATATGTATTCTTCCAGCGATGGTTTGGAGGATGATGCGTGGTTGGTATTCAAGGCAATGCCTTTCAAGAATAGTATTACATGGAATTCAATGATTGCAGGTTTTCTTCAAGCTGGTAGATCGCACCTGTCACTAGAGCTCTTCGTTAGAATGAGGCAATGTCGTGTTGAGTTTGACAGGGCGACACTAATAAGTGTCATTTCCTCCTGTTCTACCATTCATGAGTGCCGCCAGTTGCATTCTCTTTGTATCAAGATTTGTTTTTCTTCGGAAGCAGGGGTAGCAAGTTCTCTTGTGAAGGCCATTACTTCACTTGGTGGTGATTTTCAAGACTGCTATGATGTGTTTTTAGCCATCAAAGAGCATGATCTAAAGTCATGGACTGGAATTATAACTGCGTGCTGTGAGGAAGAGCCGTTAGAAGCCGTTCTTATGTTTCGCCAGTTGCAGCGGGAGTCTTTCAAACCTGATAGACATTCATTCTCCATTGCCGTCAAGGCTTCAGCATGAGAAACTTTGTATGACCCTCCACGTTCTCATATTAAAGTCTGGGTATGGAGAAGACACTTTGCTCTGCAATGCTCTGATTCATGCGTATTCTCGTTGTGGTAATCATAAATATGCTTCATGCATATTTGATGAAATGGAATTTCATGATAAAGTATCATGGAATTCTATTATCAAGGCACATGCGGCTCATGGGAAAGGCCGAGAAGCTCTAAATGCTTTTCAATCTATGGATGTCCCACCTGATTCTACCACATTTGTTGGTATTCTTACAGCATGTAGTCATTGCGGGTATGTGAATGAAGGTCGTTACATATTTAGGGAAATGTCTGAGATTTATGGAATTGAATGCCATCTAGATCACTTTGCGTGTATGGTGGACATTCTGGCACGTGCTGGAAAACTTGTTGAAGCTGAGGAAGTAATAAACCAAATGCCAATGGAGCCAGATCCTGTTGTTTGGAGTGCATTGCTTGGGGCATGCAGGAAGCATGGGGAGACTACCATTGGGATGAAGGCTGCTCAAAAGTTAATGGAATTGGAGCCGAGTAACTCAGCTGGCTATGTAATGATGTCAAATATGTATTGTGCGTTAAGGAGCTTTGGTGAGGCAGCATGTGTTAGAAAAGGAATGAAAGAATATGGAGTGAAGAAGGAGCCTGGTCTGAGCTGGATTGAGATTGGAGATCGTGTGCATGAATTCTCTGTGGAAGGCCATCAACATCCACACAGAGAAGAAATCCTTTTGGAGCTTAAAAGGCTAGTGATTAAGCTCAAGGAGATGGGTTATGTGGCAGACACTAGATTGGTATTACATGAAATTGATGACGAACATAAGGAGGAGCATTTATTGCATCATAGCGAGAAAATGGCTTTGGTTTTTGGGTTGATGAATGCTTCTTCTACTTGTGGTTGTCTGAAAATTATGAAAAACATTAGGATCTGTGAGGATTGCCATAATTTCATCAAATTAACTTCCAAATATTCCGGAAGAGAGATTGTGGTGAGAGATTCTAATCGATTCCACCATCTTAAAGATGGTGCGTGCTCATGTGGTGACTACTGGTGACAAATTTGGGCATAAATATTGTAATGTATTGGTTTGCTTTTTTTGTATTTACTTGATCTTTGTAGAACCTAGAAGGAGTTCTTCTTGTTGGACTTATTTTGTTTAATCTTCTACTGTTTACTTGATTGCTTACTTACAGGAGCATTTCTGTAAGCTGAAAATAAATTGTTCACAATTTGTTATAACGCTGATGAGGTTATTAGGCAACCATTTGTTGCGTAGTACACTAGAACTTAAATCTTTAGCTGAAATGAACTCCAAAAGTAGATTCTAAGCTCATTGTCTAAGTAATTTTGTTCTTGGTTTTCTCTATTCCTTCCATATTCTTAACTTGCTAAATGGAGCATTTGATTGTTTTCAGCCTTGCCGTTTGAGCTTCCCCATGTCCTACAGTTCAGCCCCTGATATGGCCATATGTTGGCTTTCACAGCTCGGGCCACTTAAACGGCTATATGCCTCACTTACATTGTAACTCTTGTTGAAATAATGGAAAAGAACTTGGCTGTAGAAACGAGGCCTTCATGATTCCAAATTTTCACAGGCATGAATACAGAAAGCATAATACCTTTCAATTCTAAATACCGCATCAGGTATGTATTATGCTCTTTCAGATATAATTATTTTCCTTTTTTAGTTGTGTTTTTGGTGTATCTCTTATAATTAGTTTTATTGTGCTTTAGGTTCAACATCAACATAGGTCTTCAACAAATATCATGTGCTCCGTTTAAACTTTGCAAGTTTTCTGAACGTGGATGATTAAAGGGGCTCTCAAGGTGCATAGAAGTTTCATTGCTGTTTGATTTTTAAGTTTATGGGCTGTTTCTTTTTAAGTTGGTGCATGCATATCTCAATCAAGCCTAGATGGTCCATAGACATGATGCTCCTTAATTTAACTCGTAAAGTGACACAGCCTAGCTTGAAAGTTAGGAATAATTAAAATAAGAACAGATGTTCGGATGATAGAGACATATTTTTCTTTAAATTTAAAGTAGTCTAAAAGCATCTAAAATATAAGTCATCAAACATCAACGTTTTTATTTCACATGCAACTCACATGTATAAAAGTTAATTTTGCGAAAATTGTGATTAAAGAAACATAAACAAGATCCAATATATCTTTGGTACCTCTTTGCATTCACTCATATTCTTCTACATAAAATTTTTCTCCTATTAGCCATTCAATTTATAAGACCTAATTCTATAATGAAAAGTAAGCTACTGGTTACGTTACATAATAACTCAGTAAACTGTGAAATTTTTATTGTATACTAATATTTATACTTATACTCTAATATGTATGTAGGTCAAAATGCTTATTTACTAAAATTTCTTTTTATTAGAAAATTGTAACCTTATTCATTTACATTTTATTTCAAGAGTGGTCTTATGAACACTAATATAGTAGCATTTAAGGTATGTCCGTCTTCATTTCATATTTCAAAACTTTTTATTTTATGTGCGTGATCATTACTGTTCTCCAGTAGTACAAGAAAGAGATGACTCATTTGATTGGCCTATACATTTATTTCATTTGATTATTATTTTATTCAATTCAATCATTTGAATCATACGTTAAACTTTCAACATGAATGCAACATACGAAATATTTTATAATACTTGTGTGGTTACAACGAATTTAGATGTTCAATTAATTTATCAGTAACTGTCATTTTCTAAACATTTCAAAGTTGCTTCTAACTAAAATCATAAAAAGTCAAATGATGCCTTTAAATTCAAATGAACCGTAATTAGTATAAAAAAAATTTGTAAGTATTCATCTTAAGCTTTAAATCATTCATGTTGTCGCTTAATCCTGAGCCTCCTCTTTTAATAACATAATACATTTATACATAAATCATTTCTTCAGTTATAATATTTATAACATAATATCATACTACATTTGTAAGTAAAAATATGATTGAGGTCAAACTATGGGTCAGAATAAACCATGTGATAAGATCATGATATTCTTAGCATATTCGAAGGAAGCACATGGAGGTAGGCGAACTGATTAATGAGGCGGGACAACTTGGCAAACTCGCTTTGCAGACTTCAGTCGTCTTAGCAAGCTAATATTACAATACTAGTTCAAGCCAGCATGTTCAACAAATTTTGTTCGCCTAATCAATTTGACCAAGTCAGTTTGGTGGGCAAGTCTGACAAGTGAGGGTGAATTCGTCAATTCACCTTATAGTCAGACAACACTGTACTATATAGACCTGTTACACCCTTTGTTATGTGATTATTATTATGTTGATGTATTTTCTATTTTCATGTAACCATTTATATAACTATACATAGGCTCTTCCAAACATAAAAATAGGATAGGCCAGACAAGTTTGGGGTTTTTTTTTTCTGGAACTAAATCTAAGTGAGTGGTATTGGGGATTTTCTATTTCATCTCCATAGTTAAGAGAACTTTTGTATTTATTTTCTATCATTTTCTCTTGCCCCAACTTTTATTCTCTAATGACTCCTTATGTAGTATGAGACCACTAACAATTTATGATCTAACATCTTTTAAGGTGCGACCAACATGGATCTTGCCACAAACTAGTAAAGGAGTTTTGGATGGAGAAGAAGCACACAAATTGAGAAGATTCCATAAACATGAAATGTACTAGAGAGTTTGTGGTGCAATAGATTAATGGGCTAAAAGAATAGATTATAAAGATTATTATATATGTGATAGATATCATGCCAAGATTAATGCCTATAGTTGAATTATTGTCTAACTCTTTGGAGTCGGTGGGTTGAAGAGAAGAGATGTTAGCGGCGAAAGGAAGAGAGTTCTGCCTTTTATGTCTACTAAATATGATGAAACTTACTATCTAGATAACCATTTTTTTTCCTTCTAACCATAGTAGGAAAAAGAAGAAGAGAAGACATGCAAAAGGGACAATTGCAAGAGAATGCTTTCTCCGAAGAAAATGCACTAGAGAAGTTTAAAATTTCATCTGTGGATTACCTCATGCTGACAGCTGTATATTCTTTGAATTTCTTGTATCTTTCCAAGTGGAGGATGTTACATTTTGGGCATTCTGTGAAGTCTCCGGTTGGCGGTGTCTTCCTCAGGATTTATGCATTACACATGTGGCATCCCGCACAAAGCTCCTCTGGGATCCCTGAAGATGCATGCACTGTAGATGTTTCTAGCTCGTCCTCTGTAATCGGCGGACTAATGGGAGTCTCCATCATGTTCGGATTGTAGACTTCTTCCGGAATTGAACTTAATCCAGTAATGGCTTCCTTAACACGTCGCTTTTCCAACCGAAGGAAAGCTTTGTGTTTATGCTGATTGGCATTTTTGCACTGCGCCCTTCTTAAATGTGCATTTGGAACTCTGTCTTCATGGGCGCCAACCAAGTCTTCCGTCAATTTGGTGATCATTGACTATAACTGGCCAGTTCCCTCTATTGTGTATTGTATTCTCTCAGCTTTCTTCATCTTTAGTGAGGAGTCTTCCCTAACACTGATTCAGAGTACTGAAGGTAGTCTTTCTGCTTCACGGTGGCTGACAACGTCCATCAGCCCTCATAGTTTACGTTTACTTGACTGTAGTCCAAGTCAAAACTCACAATGCCACCCCAGGTTGCCATTTCTTCATTTAGTGTGAGATTTAAGCCGTCTTTGAATGCGAGATCAACTTTTGGCCAGACATTTTCCTGCATAAAATAGGGGAAACATCAACGCGTTGATACTTTGCACGAACAAGAACAATAGCAAACCATTATTAAGCGAATTTTAAAAATTTTATATGTGTAAGAACATTTTATTTATCTTAATTTAACGAAATTTTAAAATTAAATGGAGATTTAAAAGTGCATATTCAAATTTTATTTTATTAAAATTGGTCTTATGACAAAATTTTGGACCTAGTCATAGATGCTGGCCAATTAGCCATCCTCAAAACAAGTACCACTTTCAAAAATTCATCCAGTAGAACATCAAGTTGTATAATATTTCTTCAAATATCGCCCCTTGATAGAAATCCATTACTTGGTAAGATCCTCTTGAAATGACCACAACAAATGGTCCCTCCCAAGTAGGATGCTACTTTTGCTTATGAACGAGACTGTATAGAAAGGCTTCACGAAGTCATGGTGATCGATGTGTGGAGGTATGCAGTTTCCTTCGTCATAAATGTTGGTAATACAACTGTTGGGGATACAATCAGTAGGAAGTATACTCCATCAGACCGTTCTTTTAATCATCCACTTTATCATTGGAGGTAGTGGATGCACCTGGTCATGTCTGAGAATCCCAGAAGGATTTTCTTGTCTATTGTTGGTGAAGTTGTAGCAGCAACCGCACTTTATAGTGATGCTTCTCTTTCCTCGCATCCACTTTCTCGGCTCAGAATAGGTCCTTTCCATTAGTAGGCCTGCTCGACCTCTATTCCATAGATCAAAAATGCAGTCGAGAATATTTCTCTCATCACTTTCTGAGAAGACCCCCTGGTGTATAACTCCAATTCTTCCAGTAAGTTGATGAATTCTCCTTGCACCTCTTCGTAGAATTCAAAGTTCCTCTTGCTTACTTTGCTTATTTTGTAATATTCAGTCATGCTGAGAATTGGCACCTGTCGGGGGTATTCCCTCATTTCAACGTTGGCGGGAACCCAAACTGGTGCTGATTCTGCTTCCAGTGGAATGTACGACTCGATATCCATCGTGACATATGACTCGGTACCCCATGGGACGTATTGCTCTGTACCCAGCGACACATATGCTTCCCCCATCTGGTGATCAACAGTCTGAGAATTGTCATCATTGGATGCATACTCTTCTAAGGTACTGTAGTGCTGAAGGTGCAAAACATTGCAGTCCGGGCACTCTACGAAGGCCCTTGTAACTGATGCACGTGCAGGTATCTCGGCATTGCAGGTAGGGCAACCTGTATATAGAACATCTGAAGCTGGTCGTATTCTGAGTCTAGAACAAATCCGGACTCGTCATCCGTAACAGGTAGGCTGAAGGAACTATCTTTCATGCCTAGATCATAAATATGCCTCTCAGGAATAGGGGTGAATAGGTTTTCCGCCTCTTGCTGGCGTCTTCTCTCCTCTCGGAGGAGAGCCCTGTGTTTGCTTCGATTAGTGTTTCTGCGCATAGTCCTTCACAGTGGTACATCCAGTACTCTTTCATCATTAGCGGCGACTAGACCTCCGGCTGGTGTAGCTATCATGGAGGGCAGGTGGCTGGTCCCCTCCATGGGGTCTTGTTGTATCATCATCTCTTTCTCCTTCAATGAGGAATTATTTCTGACGCTAAACCATAGTAGTGAGGGTAGTCCCTCATTTTCCTGTCGGCTGACGACATCCATTAGAGGGCCGTCATAATCCATGTTGACTTGATTGAATTCCATGTCAAAATCTATAGTGCCGCCTTGCCGTGCCATCTCCTTGTTGAGTGCGAGGTTCCAGCCATCTTTGAAAGCAATGATCAGACCCTAGTATGACATTTCTCTGCAGACGACATCAAAAAATGTCAGTGAGCTGAAACTTAGCGTAAATAAGTACAAAACAAGGTGTTTATTAGCGTAAATTTCAGTTTATATCGGTGAGGAGATCATTTATTTATATTTTGTTTCATTTAGTAAAATGTCAAGCTTAAAAGTAAGAAGAAGAAAACCGAAGTATGTAATTTCAAAAGTTTTCATTTTACTGAGGTTGATTTTATTATAAAATTTTTGAACCCGACCATAGATGTTTGGCCAAATAAATAACCCTGGAATAATCAAGATTTCAAAATTTCAATTCAAGCATTTTCAAGCTGCATAATATATTTTCAAGTATCGCCCGTTGATCGGCAACATGGGTCTTTTCCCCTGGAAATCCACCAGCTGGTAGGCTCCACCTGAATAGACTTTCTCCACAACAAATGATCCCTCCCAAATTGGCTCAAATTTCCCACCTATTTTGCGGTGTGCAAGAATAGGTCTTTTGAGAACGAGAATA